AAATGAGGGTCTCATATAAATTTTATATATATGCAAGACGGACAACTGATATTTTTTAGTAAGATGAGAAGAAATAATCAAATATAATATTTGAAATTTAACTTTACACAATTTCTGGAAAATAGATTAAAAGCTTTCAATACTATTATTATGTCTACAAAGGTAGGAGCTATCTAAAATCACTGAGAATCCAAGAATGAACAATCGTTCTCCTCAGTTCATTGTAGGCAGCCAAATTATCATACTTTGAATGTATAAAGAAGCGTAAACTGACCATCCTTCTTGGATAAGTAATTTGGTGGTGTTTTATATTAACTTTCTCAATTTTCTAATCATTTGTTAAGCTTACTTCCATTTCGAGTGAAAGTGTTGGGTGAAGAGATTCGAAGGTCAAATCCACCAGAGAACGACGGCAGATTCCTCTTGTCCAGCTCTCGTCTTCTAGTGGAATCGGCCTTCAAATCTCTTTACAAAATAATTTCACTCTAAATGGAAGTAAGCTAAACAATTATGAAACAAAAGATTCCTCTAAACCCAACTTTTCTTCGCATATTCTAATCATTTGTCTGGAATACATTTGGATTATATTTTAGCCTATTGTTCAAAATTACAATGATTTCTGCGTGACGTTTAGATTTTGTAAGATATAAATTTTGAGCATCAGTACGAAAGCTTTTTGTTCAAGGAAAGACAGCACAACACAAAATTAGATGAAAGGCTTTCTCCTACTTGAACGGTCTTAGAATTGCTACTGGCTACTATAATCACCAACCTGAATGCTAATAAATAAATCCCTCTGAGTTTAGTAAATATCATACGAATCTATCGCCATTCTTGATACCATATTATAACTCGTCAAAACGACAAGTGAAACCGAACTTTTGACCAATTGTCTGCAAAACAATCGTATTATCTCTCCTATATCCTCGTATTACGACTTCAATATCACAAATGTGGTATTGTGTGCCCTTTTGAGCGGCTTTTATGAAAAATCTCCTCACTCCGCGCTTGCCTTCTCACCCCCTCATGCCCCTTTACCCTTGTTCTTGGAATTTTGATTAGAGTCTGTCCTATTGTTACGCCGTCCTCCTTTCATAGGTTTTATCGGAGTTTCCCTCTTGCCCCGTAGGATACGTCCGCTATCTTCCTGCTTTAAGTATTTCACTCGACCCCTGCTACCCTATCTGTGCCACTTGATGCATTATTTCCCACACTCTACCTCTGGGAGACTAACTTGAGGCTAAAGCTCCTGAGTAAATTTCATGGCCAAGCCTTTGGTTCATGGACCACGTCCATGATAAAGCAGCCCTATTGTCAGCTAACTAGCTCTAGTATTCGCCGTGTCTATCCTATATTTATCCGTAGATAAGGTATAATCGAAGGTGTGAAGACCAAGATGGTGTAGCCTTTAGTATGGCCGCGGTCTCCTTTCGTTGTATAGACCTTGCTTGACCTTGTTTCCACACTTTGGCCATATTGACAGGAAGACCAAGAGGAATGTACCTTGTCCGGAGGCCATAGTATGCCTGATCATTTACAGAGTCGGATCATGGACATAGTACATTCCCGGACGGACGAGTTCATTGTCCGACTCTGGAAATTATCATGCATAATATGGACTCCAGACAAGGTGCATTCCTCTAGGTCTTCCTGCTAATATGATCAAGTATTATATTTATATATATAATGTATATATAATATAATTTAAACAAAACGACAAATTATAAAAGGAAATAAAAAATATAATAAAATCCAGAGGCCTCTGAATTTCTTTAAAGCATATAGCGTTAACAAGATAAATTGACATCAATTAACTAGGGCAGTTTGGTTACCGTTGCTCCTCCCCCTATCTTTTTTTCCTCGAGAGTGTTCTTCGTCTCAACAAGACTGCTGGCCCCAGCTTCTGCGTCCGTAACCGCTACATTCCCCTCTTCCTCATCTTCTTCGGGCAAATTCTGGCAAATATGTGACTGCCGACTTCCAGTGACAGCGGCACCAGCTCCCGAAACCTGGCCGGACTGCCTGCGTACCGCCTCGCATGCTCTGTACCAGGTGATAAAGTCTGGTGGAAGTGGCTTTCCTGGTTCTCTTGGAGGCAGCAGAATGTGACCATATTGGTCATAAACCTCGCTCCCAATATGGCGGAGAATCTCATCCTCCTAAACACAAGTAAGAAAGATGCACTTAATTAAGTCCAAATGTATTCTTTTCATGTTGAACAAAAGCTCCAATAAAGTGGACAGCAAGCATTCTGGAGATTCTTTAGACCAAGTAACAGTAAAAACATGAGTAGATTCGTATTAGAGTAGGGTTTCGAGACTACCAGTAAATCAGTGTAATGAGTAGAAGAGCCTGAGTACACATGAATAAGTGCCAGGCTACTTTTTAGTAGAGTGTTCTCAGCAGATTCATAAACAAAGAGAAGCAATGAATGCATAAAACCAAAGATATATTCCAAGAACATTTACATTTCACCTAATTCGACGATATCTGGCGATTAAGTTCAGATTTGATTCCTATTTATAAGTAGAAAATATTTTTAAATGGATAATAAGCATTTCAATTTGTTGAAAGCTATGACGGGAAGAACTTTTGATAAAGAATGTTTAATTTTTACCCTTGTTCCATGAATAATAAAATAACTTTCTCATACAGGCAAAACAAGTAGGTCTAAAGATGAAGGTAATGTCTTATTACGTTATGCAAAACTTTGCTTCAATATTCAAAAAAGCAGCGAGGGCTTGCGAGTTTAAATTGGTCATTCCTAAAACCAAGTTAGCGCTCAGACCTCAGGTCTTGTAGTCTGAAAGGACAAGAGCTCTAGACGAGTGATGAAAGTAAATTGAATCATATTCGAGTGAGGATTCATAAGCAAGAGTCAAGTATAAAATGCAAGGCAAATATAAGAAAATGACGAGACACTTGGGCCAAGCAACCTTGATCCCTTATAGTACAAGTAATTTTGCCTAATTCGTGGATAGGATCTTAGTCTCTTTAGGTCGTACAGGGTGATTTAAGGACCAATAGTATAATTGCACCAACACTTTTCCTTAGCTTTGCCGTTGAACGTGAAAGTTTTTTAAGAGGCAAGGCTAAATAAAGTAAACGATATCGTGGGTCATATTACTAACATTGAAAAAAAAACTCCTTTATCATTAGGTTAATCACAAGTTAACCACTAAGTTTGCATTAAAGGTAAGCTAATCAAGGAATGAATGAAAAGATATTTTAATAAGTAATATTTCCATTAATATAATGAAACCATTTAAGCAACCAAATGAAATTAATGCTTTAAAATCCATATATTCGTCATGCATACATTTGTTCATAAATCTATTAAACAACAAATCATAAGCTCGAGGAATAGTCATAAATATTGGATTAAAGAGTCTATCCTATTAGAAAGATTGTCTGAAGTAGGCTCATTATAATGTAATTTTCGGCTTTGCAAAAGCGTTAGTCATGTTTATAAAAGACTTTAAGTCACGATGATGCCTTGTGATAATTAAAACATTATCATAGGAGAAGATATGAAAACCAAGATTTTATAGCCTCTGGTATGGTCGCAGTCTCCTTTCGATATATAGCAGTGTGTTGACCTAGTCGTCGCAACTTAGTTTTGTTGTCAGGGTGGCTTAGTAAAACGTACCTAGTCCGAAGTCGTCTGCCATAGTAGTTGTCTGATGCTGGGAATCATGACAACTACTATGGCAGACGACTTTGGACTAGGTGCATTCTACTAAGTCGCCCTGACAGCAAGACCAAGTTGCGACAAGGAAGTCAACCCACTTCTATTATCATAGGAGATTTATCTTTCACTGTTATTTAGCCTTAATCTAAAGATATTGTTGAGCATTACATAACACTTTCTGAGATTTTGATTATTACTCTGCTATTAAGCGGACTTAAAGAGGAATTTAAATCAAATATCTTTTTCATTTCTCCACGAGCTAAATTATGGAATAGAGCGTACAATAAGTCTACATTTATTTGGAAAATATAAAATTCTGAGACTTAGAAGTACCCTAATTTAGTGCTGCAAAAGTAATAATTACAACTTTTAGTCTGGCAATTCGATTATTGAGTTTCATTAAAATTATTTTATATGCAATTGGATATAAAGATTGAATACTAAAAATGTAATCGCACTTATGGTTTATGGAGCAAATGAATATTCAACACATTGTTTGCTAGCTTGCTTGATTTGTAAATTACATCAAAGTTTCGCAACCAACGTTCAAATAGTGAGGTTGTGTTTCAAGGTCAAGAAAAGAGCATGGGTGGCTTCTCATAGAATATCTTCAAGTTTTATTAGTTTTTAAGATTTAAGATAGCATGCTCTATTGTGACTAGAATAGGACGTCTTCTGTGTAAAATATAATTTTTATAGGAGTTCTAATCGCCCAAGTTCGTCCTGGATGATGAAGGACTAGCAGTTGAATTTTACCTAAACGATATAAATAAGCATCATGTTTCCGTTAAATCTCATCTAGCTTTACTTCCTGATAGAAATTCTCCTCCAGGGTAGACTGCAGTTTCAACCTCGACTTGGTCTCATAAGCACCCCTATGTACTTACTTTCAGTGAATATAATTTTTATCTGTGTAAAGCAAATGGATTCGAAGGAATATGATAAAGCCACCACGTTTGATATAGCAATTTTAGTTAGCATTAAAAAAAGCATTTGGCTATGATACTCCATATTCAAAGATTAAATATAAAAGCAGTAATTTCACTATTACTATAGGTAACTACTGATTTTAAAGACATTAAATTCAAGTATGCAAAGTGCTTAACGAATTTTTACAAGATATCTTACTTCTTTGTAGATTGGATCAAAATCCGAGCTATAGAACTCAATGGGGAAGCTACATGGATTTGTGACTATAACATTTCTCTCATCTCCAATGCACTCGGGCAGCACCGGTCGAAACTCAATCATGCCAAGACTGAAGTCAAGACGTGGTTCCAAGCCCTCACCTTGGCAGGAGAGGCAGATGCGATGCACACTCTGTAATGGCTGTATAAAGAGACGTTCTGAGTAGATGCGCCCTTCACTTGGCACAAATTTGATCTGATTTAAGGTAAACAAATAAGACAGATTTAAAAACTAATAAATTATGCGAGTTTGGACAACCAACGGTATTTAAAAATTTGGTAGTCCCTCTTATTCAATACATTAAACTAAAGAGTAACAAATTAGTCATTGAAAAATGCACTTTTCCCACTCGCGTCTCATATAATATCAAATTCTATATAAATATTGATGCTTAAAACTATAGATTTCTTAATAAAAAAATATACCTTATTTCGGGATCTGATAAATCAGATAAATGAGGATTTTAGGAGAGTCCCAGTTTTTCATTAGACCCACCAAAGCAACTGCAGAGTACACATATACACTGAAGAAGAAACATGCCATCACAAATAATTGCAAGAAACTGCTTATAACATTTTTATTTACCAAAATAGAGCCTAAATGAATCACGTTATAGGCGTTATTCATTGTTTTTAATTATTGAGGGATTGTTATTCGATACCATATGTATAGAATAAAAATTTTATTCCCTTTAGGTGATCCAATGCTATGTGAGGAACTAAACTTACCTTTGTCTCTTAAAAGGCCATATCATCCCAAATAGACTGAAACTTTGGCCTTACTTGGGTAAGGTGAACAACCTCAATAGGATTCATAAACTGGTCATGTGGGTTGCTACACATATATAGTGTGACTGATGTCGATAAGGCATACTTTTATTTGCCAATACAAACGCCAGCACTAGCGCATTACCGTTGTGAGTATGTTTCAAAACTTTCCGTTATTCTTGAATAAATACTTGATCACCCAGGGGTAGTTTAAATCGCATTAAGAGACAAGAGTTTTAGAGCCAGAAAGCCTTTTTTAAGATAGCAACATCAGGGTCCAATAAACTAATCGGAACACATCAAAATTTACTTAATCAAATCGTTGGCATAAAGTAATACATACTCCAAGATTGTATTCTTACAAACAATAAATTAATAACTCGTTTTGCAAGTTATGATTTAGATCCATGATTCAGCAAATACGTGGGAAGATCTTTCCAGTGATTTTTTTACTCAAAATATGTCAATAGCGGACAAGTTGATAAAATCAATTCAAAATTTTTCTACTAACTTACCTGTATGTTGCGTTTCTCTCCAGGGTCTAGGCTCCCTGAAATGGGAACAATCTCAAAATTCGGAGGGAGAGCCCTCGCACCTCCGATCCTTTTGCCGCCGGCTTGTCTATTTTCCCAGGCTGAATATCTGCGATGACCTCTCAGGCTGGAGGATAACACATTTTGGCCGACTATGGCGTTTGTATTCAGGACTTTAGTGGCAAGAGGTTGGCCAGTTACATCGGCCCAGGCGACTCTAATACGGCATGGGTTGGACAGTTGGATAGTAATGAGACGAGCCTGGCCTAGATGGAGGGTACCGAAATTCACACATTCTTGACTGACAATTAGCTGCGGCATAACGGCTTCACCTGTTAGAATTAGTGGAACTTGGGGCCCATTATTAATCTGGACCCCAGATTCGTTATGCCATTATATGTTTGCATGCGAATGTAGATGAATATATATGTGTGTATGTATATGGGTGTTTGATAGAGAGGAGTAGTTTAATACATGGTGCAGATGTTCGCGCTTATGAATATAGTCAGCGGATAAACGTTATAGGCAGCAGACGTTATTAGCATCGAAATCATCAACTCTTTAGAGAATCAGCACCTTTGAGAGTAGATTGGGCTGGCAAAAATAGGCGGATATGGACAATCAAATAGTCTCGTACCTAGATGATCTCAAAAGTCCTGCCAAGCAAAAGTATCGAGAAAAGTGAAACCAAAATTATTTTCTTCAATTGACAGAATGTGCTTTAGCCGAAATTAAGATATCAGCATTCGGGTATTTTGATAAAATCCAACTATTTGTTAATAAGCATGGATACAAAAAACATACTGTCACTAATATTTTAGCTATGCTAAGAAAGATTTGATATAAATCCACTTGAAAAATCTTAATTTAATTTGGAATTGAGAGGGAAATCATGATAAGTCCATTGCTAGGACATTTGTGAAGTTCTAAATAAATGCTTTTGGTCATTATAAATCCAAAGTAAATGTATGAAATTTTAATATCTGATCTATCACACAAAATAGGACAGGCCCAATGTCAGAATCTGTTTCCAAAGCTACACCACAAGTTCAAATATGATTAATGACTAATCGCGATTTTAGCTTCTTATTTTTCTTTCAAGTAGGTAACAGAATCTATAAATAACAATTAATTGGTGACCATTAATACTTAGATCAACTAAGTGCCTTATAGCATGCTGAGATATCTATATAGCATTTCTTATCGGACTGAAGTTCATTAGATAGCTAAGCAGGAGGTATTTGGCTTACTAACCGGCAAATAAATCGTAAACTAAAGTTTTTTTCTGATGAATGCCATTAGCGAATTGGCAACAAAGCAGTCTGCCACAGGTACTAACCTTTGCCATCAGTCGGAAAGAGAAGTGGCCCGGATCCAATTTGGCAGCACTTGGGTCGAACACAAAGTCGAGGGTCGTTGCACCTTGACTTAACAGATTCTCGTGTCTTATAGGCGAGGACAAATTAAAGCCAAACCGTGAAGCTTTGGTGAGGCTAATTCGATCGAAAGCGAACCCAATAGGCCAAGAGTTAGGATTGCGAACGTGGACTCGACGACAGGCGACTTTGCCCAGCACTACAGGACCGAAGTCGAGAAGGTAGGCAGGAAGAATATATCTGATTTTGTAAAAAAGATATGATGTATATAATATAATACATAATTAACTAATAATGTAGATATATATGATTTAATGTAAATTGGATGTAAAAAGTGGTTCGAGCTCGAAGAGATAAGTCATTACTTTAACTGCAATCGATTACTGAGCGTAATTGCACTTGAACGAGCATAAGGGTAGTGATCAAGATACAAGTGATTAAAATGAAAATAGTTTACAAATCTGGCAATTGATTTCATAAGATGATGAGAAATGATAAATACCAATGATTTTTAGTAGGTCATTCTAGACAGCATTCAGTAAGTTTCATTCAAATTCTATGAGAGTTAATTAGAGAAAAGCTGTCTGTGCTATCAAAGACAATTATCTAATGAGTACCCAAAATGAGCCAGTCTTCCAGATTAAAAGTAGCTATAGCCAAATAATGTATAAAGGGATAGGACATAGATTACCTGGATAAACCTGCAAAGTCTGGATTACCAGTCAGGAGAATATGAGTAGCTGTTGAGACATCTACTTCTGGTTTTAGGGGCTTCAATAAATTAAGATATTCGCAGATGAACCTTCTCTCAGCTTCGTGTTCCAGATCCATCTCCT